GCTCGGTGGGTGAAAGAGGCTCCTGAGTCTGACATTTAGATACCAGGGGCTTATGTGCTGACAAAACAGAACAACTTCCCCAAGCTGTCTTCTGACCTTCACAGACATACCATGGCACCCCCACCCCCTAAATAAATATATGTATATTTTAAAAGGAAAATTTTTGCTTAATTTTTATGACAAGTTAACTCATAGCTTTTCTACTGAAAGTTACAGATACAATTTGAGTCCCATGCCTGATTCGTTTGTATCTGTGTGTGTACCAGCCATATCACTGCCGAGCATGTCTGCTGAAGTTAATAAGGGAGAGTCAAAGCCAAGAAGGCCTCACCTAAGGCTCAGCCCCAGCCTCTGCCTGGCCGCCTTCCTGTGTTCCGACTTACGCTTGTTGGCTTTCAGCTTCTTCTCATCCACAGGAATGAGGTCTATGTAGTCCAGGTAATACTCAAAGCTGGTGAACGGGACAGAGGCGTCGGTCCTGTTGGCCATGACTGTGGCTGTGGAGCCCAGTGTCTGTCAGAGGCTCACACTCAGAGCTGGGCCGTGAGCCCCAGGGACAAGATTGCTTAACTACTTTCTATCGGAATCACCCGGCTTGTCTGTAGGTCTCCAGGCTTGGGGCCTGCCTACTTATCAGAGTTGCTCGGCTGGAAGGTCAGGGGGCTGTTCCCCTGTAGGGCCTCTGGTTCCTGTCTCTCCTGGAAAAAACTCCAAAGCAAGAAGAGCTGGCTTCCCATTTGGCTCTAGCTTGCCTCTCCGTGGAAGGATGGGGAACTGGGCAAGAAATCAGGCGACAGCGGACAGCAGAAAGTGACTAGCAGCGCTGGACAGAACCGTCCTTTTTTTGCCTCTGATAAGTGAATAGTTAATGAAATCGCAAGGAAAGCCTGCCAGTGCCCTTGACTTACTCTGAGGCAGTTCCCGGTATTATTAAGCAACTAGTAGATGTCTGTCTTGGATTCGGAAGGCTGGCCCTGTACCCTGTGATGTGCACAAGCAGTTAACTAGAACCCCAAATCCCACTACTTAGCTGAATGTGTCCCCCAGCTTTTATCCAAGCCTCTAGGAACAAGCTGGGTGCCCAGCAGTATATCTGGTTTGCAGCTCATAGGAGTAAGTATAAGGCTCTGCACGGCTCTTGGCTGACACGGAGAAATCCTGGCTTCTGAGGGACCTGCTCCTAAATTACACACTCAGTCTTTCACATGATCCCTAGATACTACACCTAGAATATGAAGACTATTGGAACGAGCGGCTAATTCGTGAGGCACTGTGGGATTTTGCCTTCGGGAGTTATGCACTGATCCTTGTTCTTTCCTTCCCTCCTACTTGTGTTTTAAGTGTTGACTTGGGTCCCCACTGCTGGGTATCAACAGGTACACCTCAGACAACTTGAGCCCTGCCAGTTCTAATCAGTCTGCTAGGCCAAGGCAGGTGTTCTGCTGGGAGCTCTTTGAGGTCCTCAGTGGACTAGGAGTGGGGAGGATTTCCAAAGAGGCAGCTCATTCCCTGGGAGAGCACAGGGAAGCTCCTCTTTCTTCTGCTGCTTTTTTCCTCTCACCAGAAGCATAGGTTTTCATACCAGGCAAGCTCCTGTTGTCTGCAGACACTGGTTTATAACCAAGCTCACTTCTGACATAAACTGCCCAGAGTTGGCAGAGCCCTAGGGTTATGGGCGCAGTCCTGCAGTATCACACGCCTCTCCCTGCAGCAGCTGTTAATCCTAAACCCCCAGTTCTGAGGCACTGGCTGGACGTGGAGGGTTCCACATGCCCCTTCCCCTGGTCTTGTGCTGGAACAGTTCCAGAACTCAGGAGAGCAGTTCCTTACTGGATTCCTAGTGCTTCCTAAAAGGATACAACTCGGGTATAGTCAGACAGAAGTTGTTGCTACCAAGCCAGGCCCGATTTGCACAACATAGAGCATGCCAACCTTTGGAAGTGGTTTTTACAGCAGAGCCTTTGTGAGGCAAAGAGTAAGGACACAGAAGACTCAAGCCTCAACTCTGTAACCCTGAGGATAGCGGGCAGGGACACTTAAAACTGTAGAGAAAAAAAAAAAAAACAACTGTAGTGAAACAGGCTGCTCTGAGACTCTGGGAAAGGTGATTGGAGGGAAGGAATAAGAGTTATGGGTGGCCTGAGCACTTGTCATCAAGTTTCGTGGCTCTTCAGAGAACACAATGACTTTAGTATGCTTAACGGGTAATTTTCAGCTCTCTGACATCATGCACAGGAACAAGCAATGTGTCAGCTCTCACTGAAGACAGACAAGAGCGGCCTCCAACTTCTGAACAACATAGGCAACTGTTAGCACATGTCAAAGAAGTCACAAAACCATGGGAGGGTGTTGCTTAGCTGTGTGACCACTAAAGCTGTTGCTAAAAGCACGTGACTAAGAGACAGGGAAGCTAAGGTGTGGGACTGTGTAAGGGTATTCTGGGTCATGGTTGAGCAGTTGCCTAGAACCCCGAGACTCTGCATGAGAACCAGCAGGAGTTCGGCACCCCCAAGAACCTAGGGTCCTGAAAAGCAGTCCAGTCTCCATAGAATTACATTGTTCAGTCAAGTAGACCAGACTATAGGCCTCAGGCCCTAGGGATTTACATACTAATGAAGGCCAGAGGGCCCCTCCCAAAGTGCACAGGTAGAGGGTGTGACCAGAGGCCTCAGGGCCTAGGGATTTACATACTAATGAAGGCCAGAGGGCGGAGCAAATTAAGCATGCCTCCCCAGATCCTCCCACATCCTCCCCAATCCTCCCCCTTTCTCCCTCCCTATATAACTCCAGACTGCCCTGAGTTTTACGGGGGTACGCCTAGATCCATCCACCATCCACCATGACAATAAACCTTTCTGGAACCAAGGACTTCCTCGTGTCATTGGGGCCTGCCTCCACCAAAGCCTCAGGTGGCTGGAACCATAGATGTTCCTCCTGCATGTGGGACCCACCACAGCTTGGAAACCCACTGGGACTCCATCGCTGCAGCGGTGGCCCCCTAAATTTTCCCCACACTAAGGGGTTTACTTAACACTTCCCTCCATTTTGAGGTATTAGGTGGAGGTAGGGAGCTTCCTGGCCTTCTCCAGGTACATCCCTTCCTTCCCACCAGCCCCTCCCACACCTGGTAGCTACCCCAAACTCCTTTTACAGGGCCTCAGGGTTCTAGTGCACAGAAGGATGAAATCAACTGGTCTCAATCGCCAGATGAGATGTATCCTCTCCTCCCCAGAGACTAAAGTGTGGGCGAAGAATTCCAGTTCTCTTATAAACATGGCTGGATACTCTGACAGCTCCAAGGCTCCACCCATCACCTCATTAGCATAAGCCCAGACATGGATCTAGGGAGTTGGTTACTCAGGAACTCCATCTGAGACCTATGTGTGTGATCACAAAACACAGCCCAGTACAACACCTTTAATCTCTAGCTTCCTCTGTCAATACGTACAGGAAGGGATCACTCTGTTTTGTTCCTTCCTAGTGTTATAGGGACACTGTGCAATTCATTTTCCCGAAGTGGTGAGCATTTGGATTATTTTCAACAAGGAGCCCTTGGGTAGGAGTTGTCCTTGTGACTCGCTTTGGCTTTGAGTAATTGTTACAACAACCACTAAGAGGTCCTATTGACCCAGGATGTGACTCAGTGGCCGAGTACTTGCAGAGCATTTACAAGGCCTTGGGTTGGTTCAGTTCTCAGCATTGAGAAAACAACAAACAAAGCCCATGAAGACGTTGTGTAAGTTCCGGGCCAAGGTCTCAAGAGTTTGACATGCTCACATTCTACGGCAGGGCTGGCCTCCTGGGAACCAGAGGCGAACTACACAGTCAGGAGCCAGGTAAACCCTCACAGCACTGCCGCCTCCATGATGTGTGGATGGCCGTAGATCCATGAGGAAGGAAGCAGTCTAAACCCAGAGCTCACCCCACCCCTCCCCGCCTGCTTTACATTGGCAGTCCACAGAGTTGTAAGAACTGGTGCTAAATGAAAGTTGGGGTGTGTGTGTATGTGTGTGTGCATTCATTTGTGTATGTATGTGTGTGTGTGTATGTGTGTGTTGACATAATCCCCTTGTGTGTGCATATGTGTATGTGTTGACATGCCCCCACTGTGTGTGTGTGTGTGTGGTGACATGCCCCCCCTCTGTGTGTGTGTGTATGTGTGTGGTGACATGCCCCCCTGCTCTGTGTGTGTGTACGCGTGTGTGATTCTCTCTGTGTGTGTGTAGGCCAGAGGACAATCTTGAGTATCACTTTTGTATCATCCCTCTAGAGCCATGAACCTTGTTTTCTGAGGCTCTCCCTCTCTCACTGATGTGGAGCTCACCTAATGTGCTGGTCTGGCTGGCCTGTGAGCCCCAAGGGTGCCTTACTGCCTCCCTAGGGCAGATATAACAAGCATGAACCATCCATTACCTCTGGTTACTTTCTGACATGGGTTCTGGGCTCCTCGTGCTCTCAAGGCAAACCCTTTAGCAGTGGGGGGCACCTCCCCAGGCCAGGTAGCTGCTGTTGTAAGTCACCTTGGGGTGCTTTCTTGCACAGCACGGGGTAACTGGTGGAGTGCCATGCTCCTGTCCTTCTTGTCCTTTATGTTCTCAGTCCTTTGGTCCCTCGACTTTGACATGTCCTAAGTTTCTGCTGAATGTTTAATTCACTTTATACTCGTCTTAACTTCCCCAAGTGTTTTGCAAAATGTGTGAGACAAAGACCATGACTGACCGACCTATTGTCAGAACTTATTTAAAATCTCAATCAGACTAAACAAATGTGTTCCAGAAAATAAAAAAAAAAAAAAGCTGTAAAAATGCTGTGACTGTCAACCAGTTGAAGTTGTTTACCTGTAAAGGTATTAAAGTAAAACCCAATTGGGTGGGTTTTGTTTATTGTTTTTGGTTTTGTTTGTTTGAATACACAGACAGACAGACAGACAGACACAGACACAGACACACACACACACACACACACAAAGCTAGTGTTTCTCTGTGTAGCCCTGGCATACCTGGAACTCACTGTCCTGGAACTGAGAGCTCTGACTGCCTTTGCCTCCTGAAAGCTGGGACGAACATTGTGCACCATCACCACCCGGCCATATAATTGTGGAGTAGCACATATCCTGCTAACGGGTATCCAGATAATAGACGCAAAATATGGATAAGATATAGTAAAGCAGGAATTCAGAGGCTCTGGAGAGGGACAGAGAGCCACGGAAACAAAAGGAAGATCAACACCGAGAGAAAGGAATAGCACAGGCGAGATTTGTACTTATTGTATTATACTTATACATATGCATATGCACATGATAATTATTAATCATAAATACATACATATACATATGCATACTTTATTAGCAATAGTCCAGGCTCTAGGTCCAGTCCCTTATTCCACAGGTAAAAAAAATAAAATTGGCTAAATCCTTGACTGGGAAATATATATATATGTATTATATATTGTATTTGTAGTTTTGTCTGTCCTGGGGACATTCCACTACCATCACAGCATAAACCAGTGTGAACTCCAGCAGAAAACAAAAGTTTAATTGGTTTTAGTAGTCAGGGGTCAGAATCTGGAGTAGGAGAGTAGAGAAGTCCCAGAGAGTAGAAGGCCACAGTTAGCCCCAAAATGTTTCCGTTGTTAAGGGCTGGGGGTGTACATAGCTCAGTGGTTCTTGCTTAGCAACACACTAGGCTCCCAGTTCAGTCCCTCATTCCGAAGTTTACAAAGTAAAGTTGGTCCAATCCTCCTCTGGGACAGAGAATCAAAACAAAAGGTCACAAGAGGCAAAAATCAACAGCTGAAGGACAATGACAGACTCTGTCTCCACATGTCATCTACGATGCCACGTCCTTCTGTAA